TAGTAGGACTGCATGGTATGGAAGGACTACTGGATTCACTTTCAATAAGACTAACGGGCCGTTTGTGTCCATTAATATCCATACGGTTTCGTTGAGTTCTCGGAAGATTGAGTTGAGACATTTGACGAAACTCTTTGGTTAGACTTCGAGCGGTCAGACTATGCACCTAATCGTCATTTCCCACACATTAGTGTTTAAACTTTATAAACTCATTAAATAACTTATGTTCGCATAGAAATACCGGTCTCTTTGTGTACACTATTACAGTTAAACTACTATTTTTATACACAGTATGTACTTTAAGCCTTAAATTATACGCTTAATTATTATGCAAATAATTAATTTTTTTGCAGTTGATGTGGAACTCAGATATCATATTGTAACCCAATGTTCATTAATTCAACAAAAAATAAGAATTAATTGTTATAATGGTTTAAATAACAAAAGACAGCTTTTTGTAACTCTACTTTTTCAGTGTTAAAATCTTTTTTGTGCAATAATTGCAATATTTTAAATATTCATAGATTATGCCTATACTTCTCAGATATGACTAAAAATAAAACATGATTTATTTTTTAGCATGATTTTTGGCATACCGTAGTAATTTTTAGCACAGTACTACAGGGTATAAATTACATTACAAATTTTACCCAAAATTTATCCCAACGAAAAGATAAGGACTATTACCATAGGTCATAGACTTTATGGTATAGACAATGATTTCAACATTTATAAAAAATATTGGCTCAAATGTGAAATTAAAGTCCATAAGGACTGATACCGTAATATTTTAATTATGGATTAAATATGAGATATGTCTTATAAGTTAGAACACTTAAATTCTTCTATCAAATGCAATAAAAACTAAAATATTTACTATCGATACACTATTGAAGTCTACAGTATAAATAATTTAATGAATAAATATGCCATAAATACCTTAAAATTGTTTGTTTGTAAACCATTTTTGGAAAAATTATTGAATTTTGAATCCGAGAAACTATTTTTCCTCTTAATATCGACTAATTTAGGAATCGTA